AAGCATTGTGGCCGTGTTAGACACAAGCCTAAGCCAAAACATGTTGCATGTGGATACTCACCCCCAAACACAAGCAGTGCATGGGTGCACGTGAGTGCTACCCCAAACCGTGAAATTTCAAGACATGTTATTACCTACATGTTTAAAACATCCCAAAAATACAATCCAAAAAATTCATTTAAACATATAAATAAAAACCATAATCGTCATTCATCATACAAAATCATTAGTCGTGTATCTCAAAATTATCATAGAAAACTATCTATATATCAAAATCATGTGACAAAACATCAGAGTAAATCATCTCAGGCTAAAAGTTGTGGTGTGTGCCATGCAGTCATCCCGAGCTCTTCCCCTTGCTAGCGGAAGTAGCTGAAACCACAACTGAAAACTGTAAGCACGAAGCTTAGTGAGTCACCTGAGACTATCATATAACATACACATAATCATATAATAGCATACATTTGGCCTTGCCCACTACATCGGGCGTCGCCCGACATCGGACCGAAGTTCGGCATCGAGCCCCACTCGACATTGGACCGAAGTCCGGTATGCACATAACATATCAACAAGCATATGACATAAGCACATAATATAAACATATAAACATTCATCGGGCTTGCCCTGATATCGGACCGAAGCCGGAACATATAAAACACAACATGTAATCTAAATATTCCTTGGGCTTTCCCTGGCATCGGACAGAAGCATGGAACATATAACATACATATGCTAGAATCACGAAGACATCAAGCATACAAAACATTCCTCGGGCTTGCCCCAACATCGGACCGAAGTTAGGAAGCATACAAGGCACTAGAGTTTCGTGGTTTAGGGTTTGACACTTGGAGGCAGGAAATAAGGCCATCAAGTGGGAATTAGGATGCTTAAATAGGGTGCAAAATCCAGAATTTGGTTTCATCTTGGCAACCCTACTCTTCGAGTCGAGTCTCTCAAATTATCGAGTAGACGACTTAAAATCCCGCGGCCATTCTGGTTTCAACTCGACAAATTTCTGGCTCCCAACTCGTCGAGTAGCTCTATAAGAGTGAATAAATTATGATTAAATGCGTACCATGAACCAGGCGTTACAATGTTCATATGCTATGTGTACGATGTTGACCTCTTTTAACCACTTAAGTAACTTTATCTGTGTCCAGTTTCAATCACTTTAATTCAATTTAAAAAAAAAAAAAAAAACACTTCCTAAAGTCATGTATGTGTGCTCATGCTGAGAAAACTAGGTGAATGCTCTTAACCCGGATTTAAGATCAAATGAAATGGCTTATGACTATAAAATGAAAAAACAAGGTACCACACCGATCATTTTCATTTGTATGTATCATTTTCAAAACCATTAAAGTTCACATGAACCCGAAGCACTTATTTACAAGTTTCAAATTATCATACGTTAATTACTCAAAGATAGCAATTGACATGTTATTAAGGCATACTAACATGTTTTAATCAAGTGCTATTGCTATATGATCATGATGCAAATTGTGATTATATACTCCATAAAGTTCATCATGATTAATTTTGAATTTTTGAAATTTGAATACTAATGATGAAGTGATTAGTGTATGATTAGTAATTAAATGCTTATGATCATATGTGATCTAAAGGTTTTTATGTTTATTGAACTCCGATACTAATATAAAGTTAAAAAGAGGATTATAGTGTGTATATTATTTTATCCTTTGACTTTAACGAGATAAAAAAATGTTTATGTTGTGTTATATTTCTGAACAAAAAGCTTACTGTAATTTTTGATGTTGTAAATAGAATTTGTTACATTGTGTATTGTGTATATTACTTATTAACAATTAACATTTAACAATAAAGATTACAAAGGGCTGTATTCGTTGGACATATTAATGATTATAAATATTAAATAATTTTAAATAAAGGAAAATACATAATGAAACGCTGCAATGCAAAACATAAAACTGATTTAAAAATATTCATTTTGGACGTGTTTTTTTTACCAAAAACTTCTTATTGAAACTTGAAACTCACAGACTAATTTTTTTTAAAAAAAAATATTTTTTAGTTTTATAAATATATAATCAATATATTTTGTTTATTTTTCATCATACTATTTTTATTTTTGAATTGTTTCATTTTAATATCTTTTTAGACATTTATTGTTATATTGTTAAAATATTGATGATACTTATATTATATTACAACGATTATTATTATATTAAACGAATATTAATAATCATTAATTTGTTCATTTTTTTACACATAATAATTTTTTATACTTCTTTTAAAAGTTGTTTAATATTAAAACACATTTGATGTATATTATTTTTCGCAATTAATATATATATATATATATATATATATATATATATATATATATATATATATATATGTATATATATGTTTTTATAATATGCTTTAAACTAAAATTAATACCTAGCTTAAATAAACTTAAATTTGTTATTAGTATGTCTAGACGTTTATTTATATTTTTAATATAATGATCACAAAGTAAATAATAAAAAAATGTTTAGTAAATCATATCATAGTGGTTAATATAGATATCTATTTTTGAATTAACGTGAAGTTTTAACATATACACTAGAGAGTTATTCATACAACATAAAGTTTTTGTAAAAAATCCATTCGCTAACTATGCGAACTTATACTATTATAATTAAACTAATAGACATTCGAGACTTATCATACAACATAAACATTTACATAGTATTTTGGATTTTTTACGAAATAAATATATATTTTATAATAAAACTAATATTATATTTTTATAAGGATATGGATTGAAAATGACATTAATATAAATAAATATGTAAGTTTAATGTTTGAAAAAATGTAGGCTATAGTCTCTGAACTTCTAGATAATTATGACTGCAATAAAACTTCACATTTTTCCAGAATTATTTTGAATTGGAAATAACGCTTAACGCATTTTATTTCATTAAAAACAATTTTTTTTAACTCAAAATATCAAACGCCCTTTTATTAGTATCTTATGACAACACTACATTTATATTTTTTGACCAAAATATAAATATATTTTTAATCCAAAACGCATATTTATATATTAAAATAAAAAACAAGTTATTTTTATTTTTAATTCAAAAATAAACGTAGTTTTATATTTAACTAAAAACACTATATAATTTTATTTGTAGCTCAAAATAATAGATGTAAATTACCTATATATCGTAATAAAAAACTATATTTTTTTGTTATTTTATTAAAATTATCTATTTTATTATAATAATTAGTTTTATAAGTAAGTCTAATTGATGGAATTCCTTTTGATCGAAAGAAAAAACAAAGTCATGTAATCATTGTTGTGTAGACCCCTCATTGCTTTTAGTCGTTAATATGATCCACTCCTGATTTATTCTTAAAATGTTCCAACCATGGTTACAAATTTTCACCTTACCATCTAAGTTTCTACAAATCCTGAAAACACCATAAAATATTTAGGCGATCTACCCCTTATAAAAATCAAATAAGTGTAATTATATTTGTTGCACTACCCCACCCCTTAAATCCTAAAACCTAAAGATAACTATCAATGTCATTCAAAAAGGAAACTAAATTTTGTTGAGAACTATTCCTTATAGTGAAACCAATCCCCGTCGTAAAATTATTTATCAATTTGAAATTATTCATCATAAAATATAGTCTAACTTGATGAAAGATGACTAATATAATTGAGCAGGTTTAGCTCAACTGAAAACATGAACATCAAAATCCATAAAAGTGGAACCGAACGAAAAAAATCTAAAACTCAACCAAAACAACCTGAATTCGAACAAAAAAAGAAAACATAAAGAGTCTGTAGACCAATCAACGACCGAGACACCCAAAATAGATCAAAGACAATCAATTAGACGGCTAGGAACATCTAATTAATCGTTGGAATGAAACTATTTGCCGACAGCCGTATCGCGCAGGTAAGCTACTAGTCAGAATTAACAATAATCCATGAATTACTCCTAATGAAAAGGCATGAGACTAGGTCACAAATTCTGAGTCACGTAACAATTAAACCCAACAGGTTGTACCGAGAATGAAGACTAACAGGAAGAAAAGAGAGAAGATATGGATTGGAGGTTGAAGTGAGATAATCACAAAAAATTTGTTGCCTATTTGATATTATATTAAAACGTGTTTCCACATCAATCCCAATTCTCATTAAAGAAAACGAATATATACTTGTACAACATACATAGGCTGAATGTCAACATTAATGGGTCGGGTATGTATAAATACATAGATATACATACCGAAATGGGCTAACAAATATGCAAGCTATAAGATTTACATGGAGTTTTGAGAGATAACTAGATTTTTAACCCAAGCTATGAAATTAAGATTAAATTTTTTTTTTCTGTTTAAAATCTATAAAAAAAAAAATAAAAAAAAAAAATTAAATAAAATAAAATTAAAAAAAAAAACAAAAACAAAACAAAACCACATTCAAACAGCTCTCCCTTTTTCGGGTTAGATAAAAAAAAACAACATTTTCGACCAATCCCCCATAAGAACATCCCATGACACTCTCGATTCCCATTTAGTTAGTGTGGAACATTTTCTACAAAAGCAAATTAGTAGCTGGTTGATTCATATGCCTAATTAGATTTGATCCCTTTTCATTTTTGATAGTGTTCACCACGTCACCAGCTAAAATGCTTGTATGGTTGTACATAAAAAAAAAAAAAAAAAAAAAAATTATAAAGATGCAAAATGTTACAATTTTATATGAAACATAGCCATGTGAATAATAATGGTGCATGTCCTTTTGCTCACTCTTTTCCCCTTACATTGCTGCAGAAAATATGTGGCATACTTCATTCAACGTCTAAGCCTTTGGGTCCAATAACAACTTGGAAGACAAAACCATGTGATCTTGCATTTTGCAAGAATGTGTCACAATTAATCTCTTCCTAAAATTCCTACAATTACCCACTCTTATTGAAATCTTCTTACACCTATATATAATGCATCCAACTATGCCGATATCAAGCAAAACTCCTCCAAAAATCCACCACAGAACCTGTCACAAAACAAAATCCTTTCATATTGCATTTTTTCACCAAAACAAATTAAGTGACCGGACCCTTCATGTATACATGGCTATTCGTATGCCTGGGATCATTCAAGCAAAGAAAGTTCTTGGTCGATCATTGTCCAATGGAAGCCGTCACATCATCCCAAAAGGATATTTTGCAGTTTATGTTGGTGATCAAGAGAAAAGACGATTTGTTGTTCCTTTATCATTATTAAACCAGCATTCGTTCCAAGACTTGCTACATGAAGCAGAGGAAGAATTTGGATATGATCATCCAATGGGTGGCCTCACAATTCCGTGTCGTGAGGAAGTGTTCATTGATGTTGCCTGCCGCCTTTGCTCGTTATGATGAAGAGCTAGGCATGCATCGTGTTTGCTAACAGTTTTGTACAGTCAAAATCACCATGAGGATTAATTACTTGTAAATCAGAGGGAGTAATGTGGTCTCCATATTAATTGTATGATAAACAAATTTAATTAGTTTCTGCATTAATACATTAATGACGAGCATACTTCAACTTATGGTGTTCATGTCTATGCCATTAGGGCTTTCTTTATCAATGTCCTCTAATTAAACCCACCAGAACAACTTACTTACTTTTGTTCTTTAGCTTGTATCGTCAATCTGTTAAAAAAAGTGTGTATGCCGCATCTTTCTCCATATACTGAATGTGACTATAGCCTTAAGGTCTGGATCAGTTGTTTCTTCAACACCACCTACCCAAGAGCTATCAGTTATTGTTCTTTTACTGTAACCTGTTATGATGGGGACTGATTGGTGAAGAGAAGTCAGCCGATGATCAATGATGAATAGTTCGATAAAAATTCATGGTAGGATCACACATGTTAGTGAATGAACTCAAGGAAACAACTTTGTAAAGGGCCTGCTTATGTCTTTCTTGAGGAAGCTCGGAAGTTTAAAGAAAAGAACTCATACCATGGTACTTAGGCCATCTCCAATGGATTAAACCCATGAAGAGTTGTATGGATTGCCATGTTTGAAAAGAAATTTACACATTCAATTTAATTATTAAAAAATTCATAAATTTTCATTACAATTATGTCACTGAACTCGACACACTCTCTCCACTATATTATATTCACATTTAATCTATTAAACTCTCATACAACTCCTATATACAACTACCATTATGACCATATTACTAATTACGAAGGTTTCAATATAAAATCGAGCTACAAGTCTTGATTCCATGAAAACTATGGAAAAAGGCAAGGCATTGAGTTTCAAATATTATAATCACAAAAGAATTCCAACACAGACTCCTCTTGGAACATCCTAAACATCATCATATCCTACTTTCTTCCCAAGAGATTTATTCCGTTAAAAATCTTAATTACTCAAGCAACATGACAATCATTGACAACCTACCAAAATAGTTAGAAAGGCCCCACAACACATGGTATATATATATATATATATATATATATATATATATATATATATATATATATATATATATATATATATATATATTTCAACATAACAAGCTACTGCAGCTTGTAATCAATAAATGAATAATATAAAAACACAATGGGTCACTTACGTAGTTGATTTCAGAGTTACAGAAAAGCAAACAGCCAATCGGTTATAAGTTAAAGTCAAATAGCGGATCCTTTTATATTGATCATTGATAACAGAACAACCTTCAGAAGATATATTCAGGAGGGAAAAGACAAATATTTAAGTGCATACTATGAGTTTAATTCATATATCAGATTAGATATGAGCATTAATGTCTTTTTGGATGTTTTGTTGATTTCAGGACCTGAAATCGTGGACTTGTTGCTCTTGAAATAGTGTAGCTCAAGCTTGGCCACTCAGCATTACTGAAATTTTGTGGCATACTTCATTGTACATATATAATTCTTTGGGACCAATAACAAGTTGGAAGACAAAACCATGTGATTTTTCTTTTTTGTAGAATGTGTCACCATCTCTTCTTTGAAATTCCAACTATTATTCGATATTCACTGAAATCTTCATACACCTATAAAATGGATACAATTGGGCTGATATGAAGCACAACTCCTCCCAAAATACATCACAGCATCTTTCACATAAAAGAAATCCTTTGAGAAGAAAGAGACCCTAGCCTTCATATAAAAATGGCCATTCGTATGCCTCGAATCATTCAGGCCAAAAAAGTTCTCGGTCGATCCTTCTCCAATGGAAGACGCTCATCATTATCATCATCGGTAGACATCATCCCCAAAGGACATTTTGCAGTTTATGTTGGCGATCAAGAAAGAAGACGATTTGTTGTTCCTTTATCATTATTAGAGCAGCCTTCATTCCAAGATCTGCTACGTCAATCAGAGGAAGAATTTGGTTATGATCATCCAATGGGTGGCCTCACAATTCCATGTCGTGAGGATGTCTTCATTCATGTTGCTTCTGGCCTGATCTGCTCATTATGACCAAGAATTTTGCATTCTATTCGCTAACATATAACATAATTTTGTACAGTAGAAACTACCATGAAACCTAAGTATTTGTAAAGCAGTCTCCAAATTGTATGATAACCAACATTAGTTTCACCATTAACATAGCAATGAAGAACATCATTCAAATTTTGTATCTATATATGCATATGCCACCTTCCTTTATTAAAGTACCCTTATAAAGTGCTCAAAATCACATACTTCAGACTTTCTACGTCTATCTCACAAATGTTCAAAAAAGGTGTTGCAGAGCAGAGCGAATTAAAAATTTTGAATGAGAAACCATTTTCAAATGAGACTCTTTTTTCTATATAGTTAATGCCACATTTCTTCTGCGATAAGACAGCCACACGACTTCAATCAAGCGCCCAATTTCGCTGAACTCGACACAAAGACTCATCTAGATATATGGCTTCCTCGTGTGATCCACTTTACACAATCTCATCGGCGCGACATCATCACGACCTTCCAATTCGCGCTATAGGCAGCGAGTGAGAGGGATTTAAGACCATTTTTTAGTAAAAATTCGATTCCATCAAAACCAGGCCTTAAACACTTGTATTTCTCCATTATCTTTGGACCGCAAAAATCATATATGATTTTTGTATCTATTGACTGAGCCCATGGTCTTTCTTGCTTTTGGCTTTCTACAAAAATATTGGTGATTTTTTCTTAATATCAATCTTTCTTTACTAATTATTGTTGATTCTCATTTAGAAAGTAATGGTTCCATACATTGGAGGTATTATTTTGGATTATCAAACCGTATGGAGATGCATGTTCGATTATTTGGAACTTTGAATTTAACCAATATTGATAAACTTTGTTATTTTTGCTCATTTTTAACGAATATTATTGTGAAAAGCTTGCTAAAAACTAGTAGGACAAAGACGACATACGAAGGTTCTTTTTGACACGCCACAATTCGAGGTTTTTTTTTTTTTTTTTATATATATATATATATATATTTATTTATTTATTTTAAATAGTTAATTTTGGCATGTCAAAAAATATTATATAAACAAGTTTATATGTTAGGTTCGTAAAGAGCTACTCAAACTCGCGTTTCAACAAACTTTAAAATCTTTAATTAAATCGTCCCTTCGTATATGTTCATTTCCCTAGACTAAGGGCTAAGGAGCCAAAAGCGGATATAGAAGATAAGTAGCCTGTTGGTTAGCTAGTTAGTTGGTGCAATACCTTTATTTATTTATTTATTTATTTTTTTTTTTTGTAAAAGTAAGCTACATTATTATAGAAATCATTTGTTTAAGCGTTTAACATTATTAACTAGTGTGAGTATGGAACCACACCTTTTATAACCACACCAATTGAACTTGCAATCACCTCCATTAAGCCTCCATAGATGATGCTCTTCAAGATCTCAAAAGATTTAGAACGGCGTCTTTATGTTTGACCTTGGATCAATGTAGGAGAGGTGGCTACTCGAATATCTTTCATGTTTTATTGGTGTTTTACTTTTACCACCCAAATGAGAAAGGACATCATGAATAAGCAGTGAGTCTTTTGGCTTTGAATAGGTTCCTACACTCGACCCATCAGTTTAACCTGCAGAACATCGATTCATATTATAAGATTTTTAACCACAGAAAAACTAGTAATTAAAAGATCGACATAATAAAGGATTTCACTTGGTTCTCCGACTTCGGGATCAGTAACAACATTGTTGGGTTATAACTCAAAAGATGCTAAAAGGCTTCCCTTCTTACATTTAACCGAAGTGTAAGACTTAAGTCGGTACATAGATAAAAATAAACAACTAACTTACAACATGAACCAAGCAGAATATAGTGTTTGAGGGTGGTAGTAATGGTGCTTCGAATGTTGGTAAACAAGAGGTCGTGGTGACTAGAGCTTGTCTACGTAAACTTGAATGAAATATTATAATGAAGAGGGAAGGGTATCTGGAGGGAACTAGCGCGAAATGAAATTTTTGAATAAAACTTTTAGAGGGATTATTACATGATATTTTGGTGCAGTATTGAATTAATGCACCAACAAATACGCTTTTAATGCCTTTATTGCGATTATAGGAGCCGCACCAATTACCTATTTAAATGGTGTGGTTGGTTCGTGTATTGATGCGGAATTGTTTTACTAGTATGGTTTTAGCTACAACCGTACCAAAAAAAATACCTTATCGCACCAAAAAAATATGTTATGTACTAGTGTTGTCATAAATTGTTGATATGAAATGGAATCAAAATTCTAGTCTTATATATGTGTAATACTACAAAAAGTGAAATTAGGTCAAAAGTGACAAAAATAAGAAAGTATGGTTGTTATTACCTTTATATATGTTATTATAAGTCATATAATTTATTAGAAATGAGTTTCATGGAAATAAGGGTAAAATGAGAAGAATTATGAAAAATTAAAATTTACATGAAATAATGAAATTAGTAAATTTTGAGCTATGGGAGGCTAACCAAAGGAAGGTGTTCAGCAACAAAAAAAAGTTGAAAAGGAAAGAGTACATATAAGATTAAACAATGTAAAATGAATCAACTTAATTGGTAAAACATTGAACATATTATGAGCTTGCAAAGTTAGAAGACAATTCATTCATAAGTTATGGGTTTTTTTTTTCCAAAATTCAAAGGTACTAATTTTAGAGGTCAATAGCTACAGAGCTAGAATAATTCAGAAAAATCTATAAAACGAAAGTTATAAACATTATGTAAACAGAAACATAGAAAAATGATTCAAGAAATTTGGAATTAAAATGAAGTAGTTATGATCATTTAAAAAAGTTAAGTTAACACATAAAATTTATAGAAAACCAATATTAACCTATGTTTATGAGTTAATAACTCAATATTTCTACATATCCAAAGATGTCTAAAGAGAAGTTGCAAGACACTT